GTGCTAGGTTGCAGTTTGTATCCTGTGTGAGTTTGCGTTTTCCAATCACGATCCAGCTTACAGAATGGCGTTTTTATTTTCTTCCTCTAGATGGGCAAAGCAGCCAATTCAATCTCCTGATAAATTTGTAAATAGAGATGGAGAATTACGTTAAAGGGGGAAATAAAACAAATGAAAGCAGTAGCAAAAGGTCATAAGGTTAGACATAAAATTTAGATGTTGAGCGAAATATAATGCAACAAGATAAAGCAATTCTTTAAGCGTGCACAAGGTCCACAGTATGCCATTCAAACTATAATATACCGACGAGAACTTCAAGGAGTGAGACGTAACATATATTACGCAACACCTAGGCGCTATAAAGAAGAAGCAATGTAACAGAAGAGGTAAAAGAAAAGTTACAGCCAACTGTTCTCTTCAGCTTCTTGTCCTTCTTCAGTAATTGCGCAAGAATGTCGTTCTGAAGGGAGGACGGAAATAAGGTGCCATCAAAGCAGCGCTTCAAATTCAACTACGCGCCAAACTAGTTTAGAGAAATCTTTACACCGCACCCGTTGTATGTGGGCGACGTCCCCGTTGCCACGCCACAACCCCCTTGAGGTGGTACTTTAAGTTCGGTGGCTACTTCTGTCAGCGTTTCATTGTGGCGCTCCTCATTTGAATGCTCAGTCTCGATTTGGAAGAGTTTAAGTCAATTAAAGTGTACGACCATGTGCTGTCCGGCGGCGTTCCTTGGGTCCCTAATCACACAACTCAGATCCGATATTATTCGGTCCACCACGTAAGGGCCTGCCCACTCACGATGCAGCTTCGCTGGGATTCCGGCTACTGGTGCCTGATGCAACTATACGAGGTTGCCTGCTTTCATCGGGACACCGAAAACCTTCTTCACTTAGTACTTTTTCTGCCGCCGTTGAGCGTTCGCCAGGTGAATGCGTGCCGCTTCGTGTGTGTGTCTAACGGAGTCAAGAAGCTTACTGACGTATTCTGCCACCGATGGGTACAATTGTTGTGATATCGGCAATCGAACATCCGAGGGCAGTCGAACTTCTCTACCTGTCCACATAAAGGACGGCGTTTTCCCGGTAAAAGAGTGGACCGTATTGCGGTAGGCCAATAAGCACTTAGACAACAAAGTATCCCACCCGTAGATGTTCTGTTCCACGAAGGCCTTTAAGAGTGACTTCAATGACCGATTAGTGTGTCCAACCTGTCCGTTCCCTTGAGGATGGTAAGCCGTTGTTCGCGTTTTATCAACCCCGAGTGCTCTGCACATCTTCTGTACTAGTGGGCTTTTAAAACATGACCCCCTATCGGAATGCAATTGCCTGGCGCTCCCCATTTGCAAACCCAGTGGTTAGTCATCGCGGTTGCAACAGTGGCAGTATCAGCCTGTACGATTTGCTCAGCTTCACAACATTTGGTGAAGTAGTCTACCATGAATAGGATGTAGCGATTCCCTCTCCGCTTTTCCGGTAGAGGATCAAGGAGGTCTACTCCAACAATTTCGTTCAGGTAACACGCTGTCATGGATTGTAACGGTGCCCTGTGAGTCATTCGCGGATTTTTGAACGTCGCGCATCTTTTTCAAGCTTGTCAGAAGTTGATAACGTCTCTTCGTTGATGCGGTCACCAGAATCGTCGGCGCGCCGCCGGCTCGAGTTTATTGATCCCAGCGTGTCCCAGCTGTTGGTGCAGTACAGACTGCACTTCCGTAACTAACGCCTGTGGAACTACTATACTCCTCAGGTAAGTCGGGCCGAAATTGAAGACCAAGACACCCTCTTTGATAGCGAGCTTACCCCACATCGCTCATAGCACTAAGGTTCGTAGCTTTTCCCCTCCATTTCTTTTGGGAATGGTTTGTCTCCTCCCGAGCCTCGCGCGCGGTAGATAATCCATATGTCTGGGTCGCAAGCCAGTGCATTTTGCCAACGACCATAATCGGCTTGTTGTAGCCTGACTAGCGTTACGTGTTGCGTAGTGCAGGAAAGGCCGTTTCCGTGATCTCGAAAAGGAATCCTCGATAGCGCGTCCGCGTTGCTGTGTTGTTTCCCAGGCCGATGGTAACAGTCGAACTTGTACACTTGTAGCTGCTCTTGCCATCGAGCGATCTGCCCCTCAGGGTCCCGGAAGTTCTGCAACCACCTGAGGGATTGGTGATCGGTCCGTACTACAAATTTTCTTCCCAATAGGTAGTGCCGATTTTGTTTTATGAAAAACACCAATGCCAACATTTCTTTCCTTGTCGTGCAGTAATTTCGTTCTCTTGACCTAAGGCTTCTACTACTGTAAGGAACCACTCTTTCGATGCTATCCTGTCCATTCTATGACAAAACCGCCCCAATGGCTTGATTACTGGCATCCGTGTCCAAAACAAACTCCCCAGCATGTGGTGACAAGACGGGGAAGTTTAACACAGGGGCGGTACAGAGAGACTCGTGCAATCGATCGAAGCTTGGTTGACATTCGACAGTCCACTCGAAATTGCGACCCTTCGGCAACAGCGCGTTTAACGGGGCTGCGACTTCCGAGAACCCTTTGATGAACCGGCGGTAGTATGGCGCCAGGCCTAAGCAACTGCGTTACTCCTCTACCTTGGTAGCGGCTGGCCACGCCTTTACCAGCTCTGTCTGGCGAGGATCTGTCCGGATGCCTGCCCTAGCGACAATATGCCCGAGATAGTTAACTTCTTGTAGTAAGGGACATTTTTTAGTTGGTGTTTCAGGCCTACATTGATCAGACATGTTAGGACTTCGGCTAGATTGTTTAATGTTCACCCTTCGTTCGCCCATGTACGATGATTTCATCCAGATAAACGAGACACTTGTGAAGAATTAGATCGTGAAACACATACTGCATAAGGCGTTGAAACGCTGCAGGAGCGTTCGATAGACCGAACGGCATTGTTTGAAACTCATAAAGTCCTGAAGGAACTACAAAGGCTGTCATCGTCCTGTCATTCTCTTCGACCTCTACTCGACAATAACCGGTCACCAGATCTAACGTACTAAAATAGGCCGACCCTCCGAGTGCGTCGAAGAGATTATTGATTCTTGGAAGGGGAAATGCATCTTTTCGAGTGACTCCGTTTAGTCGCATATAGTCAACACATAACCGAAAACTACCGTCCTTTTTCCTCACTAGCACAACCGGAGATGTCCAGGGGGTGTAGAGGGACATACTACTGCCTTGGCTAACATTTCGTCAGTAAGCTTCTGCGGTCCGCCTTGCCAGTGGATTGGGATCCGTCCCTTGGGTGTCTTAATCGGGGTCGCGTCTCGAGTATCTATCCGATGCTTCACCAAGTTGGTTCGACCTAAGTCGTCGGCTGACCAAGTGAATGCATCTGAGTGTTGACGTAACACGTCACTGAGTTTTTCCTGTCTGCTCGTCAGTGAGCAGGTCGAGAGAAGGGACAAACTTATTTATGCACTGATCGCTGTCGGAAGTGTTTTCATAAAGCGCAAAAGCTTTTAGAACATCATTTCTGCATGGCCTAAGTAACCTAGTACACTTATCTGTAATCATCTGAGAAGTCCCCAAAGGCAGTCGGCATTTAAAACGGCTTAGCACATTCATACCAATGATTGCACCAAACGGTATTCTATCGTCAACAATAAATACATGGTTAAACTTTTCATTAGTGGTATCCAGCCGCGCAGCTAATGGATTCTGGGACAGTGAGTAGCTCGCGGTTAGCGGTAGTCAGGCGGTAGCGGCAAGGTGCCTGAATCTAATCTGTCAGCTGCTTAATTACGTTGTACCTAAGTAAACTTTTGCACGCACACGTGTCAATCAAGCCTATCAGTGGGACTTACCCGACCCGCACATCTAAGGTTAATGTTGACATTGCAGCCGATGTACAGATAACAGTGGGTATGATATTGGATGTTAAACAGTCACGCTGAACTTAAAATGGTCTGTTGCCGCGGGGTGGTCCGTAATTCCCCTGTCTTGGTGGCTGATAGCGTGGCCTTCCGAAATCACACTGAGTAGTCGATCACTGACCATATCTCCGGCGGAAGGTAGATTGCTTTGTTCGCTTTCCGAACGGTATACTTTTGGGCTGATTGCGCCCCTCAATGCACCACACCAACAGGTCTGTGTTCTCATCGCCGCTTCTACTTGCTCCAACTGCTCTACCACTTGTATGGCTGTGTCCAGGCACTCGGGGGGACGAACGTGGAATTCCTTCTTAATAGAAGGCGTTTGGACGCCTTCAAGCAACTGTTCCAGGGCGCGCTTGTCACGTTCTGCATGCGATTCGTCCACGAAAGCTATTTCTGTTATCCTGCGTAGGTCACGTATATAGGCTCCGATGGATTCTGCCGGCCTCTGGTATTTGGCGTGGTACTCTCGCCGAAGTTCAGCGGGCAGGCCGGGCCGGTCTAGTAAGTACCGATGGGAGACAAATGTTTCCTGGGTGACCATTTCTTCCAGGAGCTTAGTATCAGCCACGATATCGAAAGCCCCTCCTGACAGCAGTCCCACAATGACGGTACCGTTTTGCGGAACTGGGAAGTGCTTTAGGTAAAGTTGTACTTCATTTTCCCATCTTGAGTAAGACATCCCCAGTGAACCTCTTTCGGGGGTGGTAGCAGAGGTGTGGACGCGGTCGGTAGCGGATTCGTAGACATCTACGAAGCATCTGACAGTAATTCCAAGGAGACAGAAATTCTCACACCGGGATAAGTAGCAAGCATTTGATTTGCATTTGCACTTTGACCGGTTGACTTCTGCATCGCTCCTGTATCCTGGAAGGGTCACCAATTATAATATATCGACAAGGGAGAAGTTCAAAGATTGAGACGTAACTTCTATTACCCGACACGTAAGCTCTATAAGGAAGAAGCAATGTAACAGAAGAGGTAAAAGAAAAGTTACAGTCAACTGTTCTCTTCAGCTCCTTGTCCTTCTTCAGTAATTGCGCAAGAATGTCGTTCTGAAGGGAGGACGGAAATAAGGTGCCATCAAAGCAGCGCTTCAAATTCAACTACGCGCCAAACTAGTTTAGAGAAATCTTTACACCGCACCCGTTGTATGTGGGCGACGTCCCCGTTGCCACGCCACAACCCCCTTGAGGTGGTACTTCAAGTTCGGTGGCTACTTCTGTCAGCGTTTCATTGTGGCGCTCCTCATTTGAATGCTCAGTCTCGATTTGGAAGAGTTTAAGTCAATTAAAGTGTACGACCATGTGCTGTCCGGCGGCGTTCCTTGGGTCCCTAAGCACACAACTCAGATCCGATATTATTCGGTCCACCACGTAAGGGCCTGCCCACTCACGATGCAGCTTCGCTGGGATTCCGGCTACTGGTGCCTGATGCAACTATACGAGGTTGCCTGCTTTCATCGGGACACGGAAAACCTTCTTCACTTAGTACTTTTTCTGCCGCCGTTGAGCGTTCGCCAGGTGAATGCGTGCCGCTTCGTGTGTGTGTCTAACGGAGTCAAGAAGCTTACTGACGTATTCTGCCACCGATGGGTACAATTGTTGTGATATCGGCAATCGAACATCCGAGGGCAGTCGAACTTCTCTACCTGTCCACATAAAGGACGGCGTTTGCCCGGTAAAAGAGTGGACCGTATTGTGGTAGGCCAATAAGCACTTAGACAACAAAGTATCCCACCCGTAGATGTTCTGTTCCACGAAGGCCTTTAAGAGTGACTTCAATGACCGATTAGTGTGTCCAACCTGTCCGTTCCCTTGTGGATGGTAAGCCGTTGTTCGCGTTTTATCAACCCCGAGTGCTCTGCACATCTTCTGCACTAGTGGGCTTTTAAAACATGACCCCCTATCGGAATGCAATTGCCTGGCGCTCCCCATTTGCAAACCCAGTGGTTAGTCATCGCGGTTGCCACAGTGGCAGTATCAGCCTGTACGATTGGCTCAGCTTCCCAACATTTGGTGAAGTAGTCTACCATGAATAGGATGTAGCGATTCCCTCTCCGCTTTTCCGGTAGAGGATCAAGGAGGTCTACTCCAACAATTTCGTTCAGGTAACACGCTGTCATGGATTGTAACGGTGCCCTGTGAGTCATTCGCGGATTTTTGAACGTCGCGCATCTTTTTCAAGCCTGTCAGAAGTTGATAACGTCTCTTCGTTGATGCGGTCACCAGAATCGTCGGCGCGCCGCCGGCTCGAGTTTATTGATCCCAGCGTGTCCCAGCTGTTGGTGCAGTACAGACTGCACTTCCGTAACTAACGCCTGTGGAACTACTATCCTCCTCAGGTAAGTCGGGCCGAAATTGAAGACCAAGACGCCCTCTTTGATGGCGAGCTTACCCCACATCGCTCATAGCACTAAGGTTCGTAGCTTTTCCCCTCCATTTCTTTTGGGAATGGTTTGTCTCCTCCCGAGCCTCGCGCGCGGTAGATAATCCATATGTCTGGGTGGCAAGCCAGTGCATTTTGCCAACGACCATAATCGGCTTGTTGTAGCCTGACTAGCGTTACGTGTTGCGTAGTGCAGGAAAGGCCGTTTCCGTGATCTCGAAAAGGAATCCTCGATAGCGCGTCCGCGTTGCTGTGTTGTTTCCCAGGCCGATGGTAACAGTCGAACTTGTACACTTGTAGCTGCTCTTGCCATCGAGCGATCTGCCCCTCAGGGTCCCGGAAGTTCTGCAACCACCTGAGGGATTGGTGATCGGTCCGTACTACAAATTTTCTTCCCAATAGGTAGTGCCGATTTTGTTTTATGAAAAACACCAATGCCAACATTTCTTTCCTTGTCGTGCAGTAATTTCGTTCTCTTGACCTAAGGCTTCTACTACTGTAAGGAACTACTCTTTCGATGCTATCCTGTCCATTCTATGACAAAACCGCCCCAATGGCTTGATTACTGGCATCCGTGTCCAAAACAAACTCCCCAGCATGTGGTGACAAGACGGGGAAGTTTAACACAGGGGCGGTACAGAGAGACTCGTGCAATCGATCGAAGCTTGGTTGACATTCGACAGTCCACTCGAAATTGCGACCCTTCGGCAACAGCGCGTTTAACGGGGCTGCGACTTCCGAGAACCCTTTGATGAACCGGCGGTAGTATGGCGCCAGGCCTAAGCAACTGCGTTACTCCTCTACCTTGGTAGCGGCTGGCCACGCCTTTACCAGCTCTGTCTTGCGAGGATCTGTCCGGATGCCTGCCCTAGCGACAATATGCCCGAGATAGTTAACTTCTTGTAGTAAGGGACATTTTTTAGTTGGTGTTTCAGGCCTACATTGATCAGACATGTTAGGACTTCGGCTAGATTGTTTAATGTTCACCCTTCGTTCGCCCATGTACGATGATATCATCCAGATAAACGAGACACTTGTGAAGAATTAGATCGTGAAACACATACTGCATAAGGCGTTGAAACGCTGCAGGAGCGTTCGATAGACCGAATGGCATTGTTTGAAACTCATAAAGTCCTGAAGGAACTACAAAGGCTGTCATCGTCCTGTCATTCTCTTCGACCTCTACTCGACAATAACCGGTCACCAGATCTAACGTACTAAAATAGGCCGACCCTCCGAGTGCGTCGAAGAGATTATTGATTCTTGGAAGGGGAAATGCATCTTTTCGAGTGACTCCGTTTAGTCGCATATAGTCAACACATAACCGAAAACTACCGTCCTTTTTCCTCACTAGCACAACCGGAGATGCCCAGGGGGTGTAGAGGGACATACTACTGCCTTGGCTAACATTTCGTCAGTAAGCTTCTGCGGTCCGCCTTGCCAGTGGATTGGGATCCGTCCCTTGGGTGTCTTAATCGGGGTCGCGTCTCGAGTATCTATCCGATGCTTCACCAAGTTGGTTCGACCTAAGTCGTCGGCTGACCAAGTGAATGCATCTGAGTGTTGACGTAACACGTCACTGAGTTTTTCCTGTCTGCTCGTCAGTGAGCAGGTCGAGAGAAGGGACAAACTTATTTATGCACTGATCGCTGTCGGAAGTGTTTTCATAAAGCGCAAAAGCTTTTA